TCTGGCAATGAGCAAACGGTTACAAAACTATATTGGAAAACAGAGGTGTTGTGCAAACAGCTGAAAAGTAGTATAGCATTTTGATTCTGCTTTCGAGAAAACCTACCGACCGAAATAAACACATTCTGCTGAAAATTTCGACAAATCTTCTTTCTACTCGATATACGCTCAGTCGGTAAATTCAAGACTGAAGAATGTTCGTGTGAAGGTGTTGTAAGTACAATACTCGTAAAGAGGGAAACGAAGTACCGAATATCAATTATTTCTCGTATTTGTAAAATGTTATATTGCAAAGGGCATTCCGATAGGACAAGATGCATTTGTTTTTATTTTCTAATGTAAACTGATGAATTATCGTTTAATTAGTTACGTGGCAAGATTAATTTAGAGTCGTCACTGTTCTTAAATCATAATATAATAAATGCAATTAAATAATTTTATAAAGTTTCTTTTCGAAATAATTAATGCATCGGACGGTATAGTATTGTTACGAAAGAAACTTCCAATAATTTTAACGATGTCTACTTTCTACTTAGAACGCCACGTATAAGGCAAGTACAGTAGTGCACGCATAAGCGTCCGCAGTTGGGACCGAATGCGGACGCTTAAGTGGAGAGGTGACTTCTGCGAATTTAACTAAACAAAAGAGAGGAGATGTGCCTGAGTGGGATACCGACCGATACATCAAGTGTCAATTGTTCACATTCAGGAGTCGATATCGAATACTTTGTTTCACTCGGCACGCTCGAATTCCACTCCGAAGTCCCAATTCCAAGAATTGGCGGGGATAGCGACGGACGCTTAAGTGTGCAAAAATGCGGACGCTTATCTGTGCACTACTGTGTCTACGTACAAATTTCATTTTCATCAAAACTACCATAAAAAATGACCATAATATATCCTTGCATGGAGCAATAGTGTTGAACAGCCCGATCAAAAATCCTGCATCATTATGTAATTGAAGAAAAATCTGGAGCTGTTATTTGATTTAAATATTTACCCTAGAAATGTAGCTAATTTGTTTGAACATATCGATACTTGTGAAATGTTTCAATTATAATTCCTCGACTGAAGTAGTGAATTAAGTTTGTAGGTATCATTAATGAAAACCTCTGAAACGTGAAGTAATTTTACACTAAAGCGAAAGAAATTGTGCAATCTTTCATTCAACGTAGCATACATTTCTCAATGTGTTCTCGAATCGTCTGTTAGGTTGGATTCAAGTGAAAATAACAGTCGAGCAGAAGGAAATCTAAATAAGCAAAGGTTCAATTTTCTTTGTAACGCTTCGCAGAAATCGAGGGAGCGAGTAATAACAAAGAAACTGCACTTCGTGGTTTTCGTTTTTTATGTTCGATAAAAAGACTACGGTCACGTTTATGCAAATTTGAAAAAAAAAAGAAAGAAAAAACTATAACAACAGATTTCTTCAACTTTTCAAGATCGTAAACTTTTGCGAAATCGTTCCTTGACAATACGAAAGAATGTTTTAATTACATTTTCTAGCACCTATGTATGTTTCTTTTTTTTTCTTTTTTTAATATACAGGGTAATTTAAGAAATTCAATTTTATTTATTTTTATTTTGCGTCAGAGGCATTTTATAGGAAACTTGTGCACAACAATCGTTAGTTCTTTCAAAGATAATCTGTCTTGTATTTCTACCAATTACAATATTCGTTTCACTTTTGAACAACACTTTATTGCTAGAATTCGCAAAAATATTGAATATTTTTGTCAAATACTTGTTGGTTTATTTTAAACACATCCCCGTTCATAGTATCGTTCAAATCAACATTACGGAGCTATTCAAAGTCTCTAACCCTCTATTGCAAAAATTTGCATCAACTGTACGTGTTAATAAATAGTTTCTCCACATTTTTACGTAACTTACTTTCATTTTTATCATCTACATTATTATTCTAACCATAGATTTATCCATCTACATATAGCAGCGCCGTAAAAGTAGCCAGTAAAAAGATATGCAGTAAAACATGTCATGAGATAGTTACACGATATTATTATAATAGTCAATACTTTCATCGAAACACCGGCTAATGCGGGTGCAAGTACTTTTCGTTCCTGCCTTTCACTAAACCTCTGCTGTTTTACGTGTTTTCGCACATTCTTTAACAATTCAGTGCGCTACTCTTACGTTCTACGTCAATGAAGTGCATGTACAGCCAGTGTAAAGAGTATGTACTCGTAGAGAGGGTAATTTTAACAAAAGCTCTCGCAGAATTGCGTTTATCGATAAATTTTCATTCATTAATAAAATATTTGCGCATATTCCTAGAAATCTCTCGAATAAATGACATTATAAAAAGGAAGATATCCTTTTTTCTAATCTTCTACAAAAATATTAAGAAATGTCGAAAAACTAGTAGTATATTGGTAGTATAATTCAGGTTAAACGAGAAGTTTAATAAAACGGTCTGATTATAGATTAATCGGTATTTTGGTACGATATACCAGTGATAACTCGGTACGCAAAGAATTAAAATGAAAATTTTCATCGAGCTGATGAACAATAACTATGTTACAAGTGACGGTAAATGCCACGATTAGCTTCTAGAAGGTTTCACACAGGCACTTCCATCCTAGAACTATACCTTTCCCCTGCATCTACGGTTCTATGCCCGATGGTGGTCCATCCTGGTCAGGGCCGGTGAGCACGGCGTTCTCTAACCTAAAGCCCGCACACAAACGCACTCCAAGGAACGCAAAAACGATCCTCGTCTCCTTTCACTTGCCCAAACAAACCAAATATCGATTTAATCTTATTTCGTTTGATTAGCGGCTGCATACTTTTATTATTGAACATTTATTTTCTTTTTTTTTTTTGTTCGTCCTGCACTATTGCGCGACAATCTTCGAGAAACTTAACATTTTCATCGACATGACCTACCGTTTCAAATTTTATCTTTAGCTCCTATCGAGTTCGTCAATTGTGGAATTTACGGTGAAATTGATTTAAATAGGTACCGAAATGGATACGCTGCTTGAGATTTAAAGAGATAATTACAACTGAAATTTTCGTATAGCTTGGGACAGCATTTAACCTGTTGAAAATTTGTCCCGTTTTCCTGTGATAATTGCAAAAATTATCCAAAGATATTTGTACAAATTTTTGTTTTTATCTTTCAAAATTTTATCTCGACTTTCTCTCAAGTAGTTAACACGATCGTAATTTTGGTAAAGTGATTATTACTGATTACTAACAATTTTTCATTCGTCGAATCTTTATAGAAGCGATCACACGTAAATCACCGTTAGAAACTCCACTGTGATCTTTTGTTATTCGTTGTAATTAGAATCCTTAAATAACATGAAATTGTACTTATTTCGACCGGTAATGATGATATCGCCATTTTTAAGATTGTGTCGTCATGTGTTATTACTTGAAGTAAATAACACAAGAATTTTTGTAAATAGCAATTTGTAATTGCTTTTTCCTTAATCGAAACTTTAACTTCATTCACTTCGCTATTAAGTTTGTATAGCTATTACCGTATAAATTCGGTAAATCCGTACGAAAAAATGTTTCAAACAAAAGTTGCATTGTATCGAGGATAGGGCAATATAAGGCAACAGATCGTTTGTTACCATCTTACATTTTTATCGAGATATGAAGGTCACCTTCGATTTTTCAAACGAGGAAATTTTCGAAACGTTTTGATGCACGGCGAGTGTTAGAGAGACAGTTTCCTAATCGTTGGATTGTGCGAGGCAGTAATATTTCATGGCCAGCTCACCCGCCAGATCTAACGCCGCTTAATTATTTACTTTGCGGAGCATTGAAAAACAAAGTTTATCGCCAGACATCAACGACCGTCGAAGATATGCGAGAACTTATCCTTATTGCATTCGCTCATTATCCGATTACGCAATTGCATTGACTGTAACAGACAATAATTCGAACACCGCTTGAAATAAAAGTTATTTTACTAATGTTTCAGTAATTCTTCACTTCAGATCCTATTTGATATAATACTTTTTTACGCAGAGTTTCATACTTCATCGAAACACGGGAAAAAATATGGAGGTTCCTATTTAAAACACTAAAATGGCTTTCATATTTCGATAAAAATGTAAAATAATAACAAACGATCTAATGCCTTATATATCCCCTTATTAATACCTTGCAAATTTTGTTTCAAACACTTTTTCACATAACAAGTAATTTACGAATAATTTGAAGTCATAAAATTAGGTGCCTCACTCTGTATAAAATATTAACCAAAAAACTAGAAAGATATTGAAAAACTTAATTATTCAGAATTTGTTCAATATTGAAATTGTTTCGAAATTAAGTTCCATCAAACACCTATTTAAATATATTTAAATCGTTAAT